TGTGTGTGATCTTGGAGACTCTCTCTGTGTGTGCCTGGTTTTGTACTATGATAATGAACTGTATTTTGCAGTGAAAGGAAAAGAAAAGGAAATTATAATAACAGATGAATTTATATTTATAATTGCGTATACATACACACATATAGACTTACACCCATAGTTGGTGTATTTCTGTGTTTATTGGGGCTAATGGTTAATATCTGTTTATTTGCTTGTGGTTTGCTGAGTGGGTGTGTGCTTTATTCGTGAGACCCTTTTTTATTAAGTATTCTTCGTTTTTGTACTCTTAATGAGTTTACGTTGCTGTATTGTTTTGTGCTACTGGTGTAGTGTATGTGATTGCATTGTTTTGTTTGTTTGTGTTACTGTATTTGGAATAGTATTTATTTCACTCTCTGTTTTTCTTTTCTAGTCCATTTGTTTTAAGCAATCTTCACTGTTATGACTGTGCAAAAGATGATGCGGCACTTTCTTTATTTACTGGTTCTTATGTTGAGCTGCGCCTATGGATGTGTCTGCACTGAGGCCAAACCTCCCCTTGAACCTGCTGCGCATGGTATTGGTGCTGTACCTGGTGTTGGTAGAGTAAGTGCTCCTGGTTCTCACCCGAATGGTCCTGGTGCACAGCAAGCTGTGTCGAGTGGTAGTGCTCTTGCTAAGAATTACAAAGGCCATCCTGGAGTTGATGGTGTGCCTGGAAAGGCTAATGATACTCTTGCGAAACGTTTGGGTATCTCACCTGGAACACCTGTTTCTGTTCCACCTGCTGAGTCTACGCAGGATGCTGTCCTTCCCGGTGTTGGTGTACCTGGCCATGTTCCTTCTGCTGGTTCTGGTAATGTTATTCATGTAACAAAATCTCATACTTCTCCAGAGTCCAGCTATACTTGCGTTCCTGCCACCAATGGTAGTAATCCGGTTGTTAACGGTCGTGACGTTATTGGCGGTATTCCTGGTGTTAACCAGGTTCCTTGTGTTGCTGGTGCTCCAGGCACTCGTATTCCACTTACTGGTGAAAGCAAAAGTATCACTTTGCCCGAAGATCTTCCTGGTAATCCTCAAAACAAAGGTGATCTCAAGACCCATCATCTTCCCGGTGTTGTTGCGGATCCCAAACATGCAGTGACTCTTAATTTAAGTCTTCAATCTCAACCAGTTGCTGGTGTTGGTGTTAAAACTAAAGATGCTCCAACTGCGACTCATGGGACTCATCGTGGTTCTCATATTGTTGCTGATCCCAACCATGCTGAATCTCTTAATTTAACGCTTCATTCTCAACCTGATGCTGGTGTTGCTGGCCTACCAAATGTAAATGGGCAGCAAAGCGTCGGTGTTGGGCTCCAACCAGGTGTTGCTCTTCCTCATTCTACTGCTCATGGAAATGGTACTGTTACTCCTGTTGGTGCTGTTTACGAAAATGAACAAATGCAGGATTCTGCCAGCACACAACAAGCAGGAGACAATACTAAACAGGCAGAGAATACTGAAGCACCTTCAACTACTGCTGCAGTGAGTGTTTCAGAAGCAACTGGTGCGCAAACCTCCTCACCAACTTCAACTGCACCTACAAAGGGTGATTCAACAAGGAACACACCCAATAAACCGAATACGGTGAACTCAACTACCACCACCACGACAACAACACTTCCTCGTGAACCTTCAAACAGCAAGAAACCAACCAAGAAGGGTGATGCAGACAGCAGCAATATCAGTTCTGTGTGGGTGCGTATGCCTCTACTGATTGTGGCTGTGTTGTTCTCCATTACAGTGTACTGAACAGTGGGAATCATCTTAGAGCAAATAATAATAGTTAAACTAACATAATCATAATTGCGTACATCCCCCATGGGTGAATGAATTCATTAATAATCTGTTTACCAGCTTTCTCTTTCAATTGAAATTTTTTTTTACCTTCATGTGTGTGTGTTCTTTTTCGAATAATTCCATTACTTGCTTTTCCCGTTGTGTGTTTGCAGAAAACTGGGCTGTTCTGCTCGCTGACGGTATACATTTCTTGCTAGTACACACAGATGTGTCTGTGTGCATTAATTTAATATACATAAACTAGAGCCATGGAGTATTGTGTGTGTGTGTGTTTGGCTCTCCATTATTTGGGTATGGTGGTGTTTTCTTTTTTCTATTAAGGGATACTTATTATTATCATACAAGCTGAATATTTCTTTTCTTTTGCTTTACTGTGCCGTTGCTGCTTCTCTCTCTCTATCCCACTGTGTGTATTTCTTGTGTTGGTGTATCTATGTTTATTTGTTTCTTTCTCAATTATTTCTTTCTGTTCCTCTTTCTTTCCCGTGTATTAGTCTATTGAAGTAAATAACAACAATGACAATGACTGTAATGGTGAGGTGTTACCTGCTCTGTTTACTAACTCTTGCACTGTGTTGTGCTTGTGGGTTAGTATGGGCTGATAGTCCTAAAGCTTCTGATGCCCTTATTAAACCTTCCACTGTTGGTGTTCCTTCTCTTGTTCGTCGTGCTATTCCTGAGGATGCTGAAAGTTGGATGGTGTATGAGGATGAGGAAGATGGTGATAGAATTGATGAGGATAGACACAGAAAAAAAGAACAGGGGTCCGATAAAGTAGAAAAAACAACAATTAGCAAGCCATCAACAGTCTCTCGGTCAATGGGAAGTGAAGGTTCTCTCGGTCCTCAAGAGATCCCTGTTAATTCCACAGTCCTGCAGCAACATCCACCACCACCTCTGGCAGATGCTCCTCTGGCTTCTTCACATGATGGAGCATCCGCTGAGGGTAAACCAGGTGCTGTTGGTGTTGATGGTCTTCCTGGTAGTCCTGGAGTTGAGCGGAGTGATATGTCTGAGAGTAGCAGAC